AATTGTAGCATGAACACCATCAGATTAAAGCTTTTTCCTTTTTCATTAAAAGATAAAGCTAAAACATGGCTACAAAATTTCAGACCTAGATTCATTCTTGCTTGGGATGAAATGCAACAACAATTTTTAAAGAAGTTTTTCCCTTCTCATAGAACAAACTCTTTTAAAAGACAAATCATCACTTTCACTCAAAAACCAGGAGAAACATTTTACCAATGTTGGGATAGGTATCAAGACTTGCTTAATACTTGCCGTTATCATGGTTTTGAAACATGGAGAGTGGTTTCATATTTTTGTGAAAGGTTAACATTTAGAGATAGGCAAATGGTTGAATTTATGAGGCAATGAAACTTCACAACCACCGTTTCAAGCGCATCATACTTTTTAAAATTCTCATAGATATGCATCTCTTTATGCTCCACCTCCTAGAACAAATTTTGAGAAAACTTTGTATGCATTCATTGAAAAAGCAAGAAACAATCAACACTCAACTTGCTCAAAGCATAACAGATTTTAAAGTTACTCTTACAAAATTCACATATGCTCTCAGTTTTCAAAAGAAAGGTAAGTTTCCATCTCCACTATAGCAAAATCTCAAGGGTCAATACAATGCAAATGGAAATAGTTCTAGAAGTCAACATATGAATCAAGTCAAATAAGTCATCACTCTTCGCAGTGGTAGGTGATTAGTACTTAAAAGTGCATTTTTATCAAGGTTTTATATCATCATTTTTGCACTTGAAGTATCAATAACTCCTTAACTAAAGCATGTTTTATAATAATATATCTAATAATATAAGATACCTTTAATTTATGGTAAATGTTCATTTTAAATGCAAGCCTATCACATAAATAAAAGGATTGATTGATGAATTTAAGAACTCAAATTGAAAGGACAAAGAGATGACCAAACTCAGAAAAGAGATGTCAGTACAATCCAAACCGGAACTCTATTCAGTAATTGGATCATATCTAGAGCTATAGATCTCAGATTTAGGTCTACTTTATATGGATGGAAAGGAAAGACATAGGCCTACAACTTTCATATGGAGCCCAAGATTTAAAAAGGCCATTTTCAAGTCCAAATTATAGCAACAACAAAGAAGCCCGAATCTGTCCTCCAGCCCGAGCACTGTTCAGTATTTTGGCCATATCTAGAGTTCTAGAAGTCAAAATGAGTTGAATTGTTTACACAAGAAAGCAGAGACAATTTCCTACAACTTTCATGTTTTCAAGTGACTCCACTTTTGACGTTATCAATGACGTTTTGGGCAAACAAGAGAAGATAAGGATTGTCACCAAGTCAAGAGTTGGTCACCCACTCATCAATTAGTCATCAAATCAATAGTTCCCAATTTTGGCCTATAACAGGAGGCATTTGCCATGCATTTAGGCATCTTGGTTTCCAGATCAAGATCATGCTCTTGCTTTCTCTCTTTGTATTTTTTGTAATGTTTATACTTTGCTTTTATTAATATCAAGTTTATGCCTTTCATTTCCTTTCATTTACTTAGTTAACTCTTATCTTATTTATGTTCTTATTTTGTTTATTTATTTTTCTTTCTTTCATTATGTCTAGCTAAGTTTATTGTGTCAAGGTGAAAAGGTTACACTAATGGTGTAAGAATAAGTATAATGTAAACTTAATATGGACTTTAATGTTTGATACTAACATGTTTTGTATTTGTTATCTTGTTCACTCTTTAATACTTTGCTTGTTAAATTACTAATCTTGATTTATGTTGTATAACACTTGGTACAATAAATGCTTGGCACTTTCATAGTTCATACTGTATGGTATAACTGACACCTGAGCTATGAAAGGAACTTCATTTGTTGTTAACATAAGTTATAATCATGAATGCTTGACGGGATTTACAAGTATTAGCATTAATAAAATAAGATGACTAATGTAACCATGTTAACAATATATAATCTAATTGGAACCTCCTTTGTGTGTGGTTTCCAATTGAATAAGAAGAGTTTATACTATACTTGTTTGACATACCATTAATGGATCCTCTAACCTTGACATTTGTTATTATTATTGTTTAATCCTTACATTAATATTCTATCTCAAAGTTCTCATCTTCTTCTTCTTCTTCTTCTCCTTCTCCTTCT